AGAAAGCGCAAGTGGGGGAGAAGCAGAGAGAAAGGGAGAGAGAAAGAATCCCAAGTAGGCTGTGAACTGTTAGAGCAGAGCCCAACACGGGGCTCAAACCCACCAACAGCAAGATCATGACCCAAGTCAAAGTCAGATGCTTAACTGACTGAGCTGCCCAGAAGCTCCTATTATTTTTTTTTTTCAAGAGAGAGAGTACAAGCAGGGGAGGGCGGAGAGAGGGAGGGAGACCATCCTAAGCAGGCTCCATGGCGCCTGACCCAGGGCACCATATCTCATGACCATGGGATCATGACCTGAGCCAAAATCAAGAGTCAGACGCTTAACCGACTGAACCACCCAGATGCCCCAAGATGATTACTTTTTTTTTTAATATTTTTTTAATGTTTATTTATTTCTGAGACAGAGGGAGACAGAACATGAGTAGGGGAGGGGCAGAAAGAGAGGGAGACACAGAATCAGAAGCAGGCTCCAGGCTCTGAGCTGTCAGTGCAGAGCCCGACGCGGGGCTCGAACTCACCGCGAGATCATGACTCGGGCTGAAGTCAGACACTTAACCGACTGAGCCACCCAGGCGCCCCAAGATGATTACTTCTAAATTTTCATTCTGCTAGTAAAAGTTATATATGTACATTTTTAAAAATTTAAAGTACATAAATATATGAAGAAGGACATAATACCTTACATCCTGTAATTTGGAGAGGATATGTATAGATAGATGGAAAGATAGATCTATTTTTGCTGCATGTTTTACTCTTGTCTATAAACACACACGTATGCATACTATCTCTACATAAATTTGGTTTTGTAAAAAAGACTGTACTACAGGTATAAACAATGTGCGTACTGTGTATAAACTGTATACTGTACTTCTTCATAAAGTATTTATGAACCTCTTTACATGTCTCAGTTATGTATCATTTTATAATATCATTTTATTACATTTCTGTGCTAATTTCTGTTTGTGCTATATGTTATTTAATATATCCTTTTATTATTATCTGTATAGATTATTTTTCACATTCATAATGATAGACAGCCCCATGATGAAGTTGTACATACATCTGGCATAATTATATTCTCACTTCTGCCGGTCGGAAATTTTAATTCCAAAGTGAATGTGCCGTATAAAATGAAGCTATATTTTAAATCCTTTCAATTTGAAATAACACATTTGCCTTAAATAGCTGTACAAATTTATACTCCCACCAGGATTGAAAAAAACTATAGCTTCCTTCTTTTTACCATCACCAAAAACATATTAATATGTTCTTAGTGAATATTCCATTTAAGATCTTTGCCCATTTTTCTAATGAAGTACCTGTTTACTTTTTTGTCATTAACTGTTCATGCGGTATTTTAAGAATACTAGTCCTTCTCCATCTGTCCTGTATATTGCAAATAGTTTTTCTACTTTATTGTCTTTTATTTAGTTTACAGTATTTGCTACCATACAGATAGTTTACATTTTATTTTTATATTCACCTTCAGAAAGGCCTTTTTGCAGCCTAAGAGCTTAAATATAACTTTCATTTTCTAGTCCTTTGTTGTGGTTCGGTTTTAGGTTCTTTTCTCAATTTTTTTTTATATTGCACCTTTTCTATTTGGAATGCTATGCTTATATTTTTCTCCTATTTGTCTACTGAGTGACAGTGTTTTCTGTTACAGATACAAGTATTGTTATTTTCCCTTCTTTTTATTTATTTTGAGAGTGAAAGAAAGCGCAAGCAGGGGAGAGGCAGAGAGAGAGAGAGGAGAGTGACAATCCCAAGCAGGCTCCACACTGCCAGTGCAGAGCCTGACACGGGGCTCGAACTCCCAAACCAGGAGATCATGACCTGAGCTGAAATCAGGAATCGGACGCTTAACTGAATGAGCCACCCAGGCACCCCTGTTACTTTCCCTTCTTAATTTGAAGTACAAATTAAAACTTAAAATAATACCTTAAAACTTAAAATAATAACTTAATTGGAGGTCCCTCCTTGCTACTACCTTTTATCTTAATGGCCTGGGGTGCACATTTCATTGTGGCGTGTAACACTGGAGTGTGGTCCCACAGCCCTTCCTGGCAGAGTGCACACTCATGCCTGTGCCTGTGAGATTCATGTGATCAGCTGAGGTCGCATCCTGACTTTATTTCTGGCCGAATTATGGAGAAAAGAATCCCAGGGACCCACCAGTCACACAGACCCGTGCTGCTTCTGTTGGTTCAAGGGCTATTCAAGCAAGCAGAGGCAGCCAGAAACCCATCCATAGCGTTTCACTTCCGGTAGCAATGACCAAACATTGGCCCATGTACTTCTGCAAATTTTCCTTCCGGTTGCAATCCTTTTCCATTACGACACATTTTGAGTCTTGAATGCCGTGTCATGTGTGAGATTTTCTTGAGACAAATATTTCATTAAGAGTTGAGAGATTGTGTGAGGATATGTGGTCACTTTCGCCTAAGCTGGGATCTGTCCATCCCCACCCGCCATGTTGCCAATGGAATTACTCTGGGTATAGCTGCCTGGCATGTCAGGAATCATCCTATATATTCCAGACGGTAATGGATTAATATCAGTATTTTTTTTTTAATTTTTTTTCAACGTTTATTTATTTTTGGGACAGAGAGAGACAGAGCATGAACGGGGGAGGGGCAGAGAGAGAGGGAGACACAGAATCGGAAACAGGCTCCAGGCTCTGAGCCATCAGCCCAGAGCCCGACGCGGGGCTCGAACTCATGGACCGCGAGATCGTGACCTGGCTGAAGTCGGACGCTTAACTGACTGCGCCACCCAGGCACCCCTAATATCAGTATTTTTAAAACAAAGACCTAAAGACATTAAGTGATATGCCCCAATTACACAATTAATGAAGAAAGGGAAAATCCTGAAATAGCCAATTTTATTATCTAAAAGAAAGGAACACATTTCATAATCTACTATCTAGGAGGCTCTATAATGATAAAAGGAAATCATGTTAGATGCTGTTTCTCAAAACACAGTACAAATAGCACCTACATCAGAATAACTTTGATTATTCAAAGTAATGGTGGAAAGACTTTCAATTAAATAGTATTTTGATTTTTCAAAGCAAATATTTCAATTCTGTACATCAAAAATTAGAAAGGAGAAACCTGTAACCTGCTAGAATGTGGACTGTTGACCTCCATCTGAGACAGGCGGGGCAGTTCCTGCATTGAACAGCTCTCCGGCTGACCCCTGTGCACGCCCCACTTGAAGAACCAATGTCCGAAGTGTTTACTTCCATATTTAGACCTCCATATTTACGAAAGCATAAACTAAACTTCTGATGTTGTAGTTCACTCTATATACAAAGTTAAATAATGTCCCATTTTCCCCAAATTTCAAAGTATGATTTAGAAAACTGTTGTTTTTCATAGCTATGGTAACTACCTGAATATAATTGTTTTCAGTTTATTTATTTATTTTGCGAGAGAGAGAGATTGTGTGTGCGAGAGAGAGGGGGGCGGAGAGAGAATCCCAAGCAGGCTCCACATCACCAGCACAGATCCCAGTGCAGGGTTCAAACCCACAAACTGTGAGATTATGACCTGAGCCCAAATCGGACACTTAACCAACTGAGCCACTCAGATGCCCCAGTAACTACCTGAATATAACTTGGAATGTTCGACTTAATTGGATACACTAATGTAGACAATCATGTATAAGCAGAATTCACCTTCTCTGGATCGTTTCATGTCTTTTTCGTAGCAAAATAAATCTTCAGTGTCAATATTTTTGGGAATACTTGGAGGTTCTACCAAAATACATACCTATATGTGATACTTTTGTTGAAATCCCTTTCTTCATGGGATTATTTATTCTAAAGTAACTTCTGTAAAATTAGATTCCTAATTCCAAGCATCCTGCTTAATTATATTATATTGATGCTGGTAATTAAAAGTGAAGCAAAGGATTACAGTGGACTATGGTTTATATGTGCTGAAGGCTAATACGAGCTTGAATAAATTTTCCAACTTAAAATTTGCCAATTAGGTAAAACTGTATATCGAACAGGCTACTTTAGAAATTGTTTTGTTTTGTTTTTTTGTTTTTTTTTTTAATTTTTTTTTTCAACGTTTATTTATTTTTGGGACAGAGAGAGACAGAGCATGAACGGGGGAGGGGCAGAGAGAGAGGGAGACACAGAATCGGAAACAGGCTCCAGGCTCTGAGCCATCAGCCCAGAGCCCGACACGGGGCTCGAACTCCCGGACCGCGAGATCGTGACCTGGCTGAAGTCGGACGCTTAACCGACTGCGCCACCCAGGCGCCCCTAGAAATTGTTTTTAAAATTATCTCTCACAAAATTTTTGTCTTAAGACCCAAATATATATTTTCCAAATTTGGTTGTGGTACTTAATTTCATTTTTAATTGTGGTATTCATTCAAATTAAAATATGAATATAATTTTACCAAGAAAAGTTAAAATTCAGGGATAATTGATAATATGTTTTTAAAAATTTTTGTATTTATTTTGAGAGAGTGAGGAGGGGGGAGGGGAATTGGGGAGAGAGAGAATCCAAAGCAGCCTCTGTGCTGTCAGCGCAGAGCCCAACATGAGGCTGGATCCCATGAACCATGAGATCGTGACCTGAGCTGAAACCAAGAGTCAGACACTTAACTGACTGAGCCACCCAGGCGCCCTGATTTTTTTAATTTTTTTTTAATGTTTATTTATTTTTGAGAGAGAGAGAGTGTGTGAGCAGGGGCAGGTCAGTAACAGAGACAGAGGGAGAGACAGAACTCGAAGTGGGCTCCAGGCTCTGAGCTGTCAGCACAGAGCCCGATGCGGGGCTCGAACTCACGAACTGTGAGATCATGACCTGAGCTGAAGTCGGACGCTTAACCAACTGAGCCACCCAGGCGCCCCAGGCACCCCGATTTTTAATAAGGATCTGGCATACGTAACATTAAACCTACAGGTTTTTTGCGTGCATTATTTCCAAATCCCCTAATTTGAGAAATGACCCATCTTGCGTGTTTCTTTGATAGGCATATGCCGGCAAAGAGCTGGAGGAGCGACTGCGGTCCGTGTCCAGTGTCGATGAACTCATGACCGTACTCTACCCAGAATATTGGAAAATGTACAAGTGTCAGTTAAGGAAAGGCGGCTGGCAACATAATAAAGAACAGCCCAACATCAATGCAAGAACAGAAGACACTGTAAAATTTGCTGCAGCACATTATAATGCGGAGATCTTGAAAAGTAAGCATGGGAAGAAAAATATTTGATAAGCTTCAGTCAGCCCAGTGAAAGCTGCTAGTCTGTTTTCTTTCTTTTTAATTTCAGTGTTTGTACCACTAAAGCCCTTTAGGGCTGAAAGCAGACAAGAGAAATAAAGGTTTTCAAAATACAGCATTTTATGACTTCACTGTGAGTGGTTAAGAGGATTTCTCGAAATATAAAGAATAGAAATGTGGATGCATATCAACACGTTTTTTTTTCAATTGAGGTGATATCCCAATGCAAAATTTTCAAAAGGTGAAGATATATTTTACACACTCTGTAAGCATTTAAGCATTCTATGTCTTACAAAATAATTGCACAGAAATTTTTTGATTTGGATTCAGAAATGCTGAATTTCTAAATCACCCCAAATCATCTTTCCAATGACTTCTTCTTGCCTTGTTTCTTGATAGCTGGACTTTGGGAAAGCTACTAAAAGATCTAGCAGAAAGAGTCACAAAAAATTACGATGCCGGGTAAAGTGTCATGGTATAAATTGGTGGGCTACTTTTAAAAAATAAGTTCCTTCGGTTGTTAGATATGAATCGCTCTCAAGGTTTGAGATTGCAATTTATTTTCAAAACAAACACACACAACATGGCTTCACGGTTGAGTAACCAATAGCTTCCACGCTTTTTTTCTAAAAATTTTACTTGAGGGCAAATAGGGGAAAAATAAGCTAAAACATGTTAAGAAGCACATCACCTATAATGCAGTAGTTAAAAGGTCAGCAGTGCTAACCTTAACCAACCCACTAACCCACTGTAAACAGAATTCCAAGAGAGAGCATCAAAGGAACAGAAAAATTAGACTTTCCCGAAAGCACTTAGTTCAGGATCCAGGCCCCACTTGATGGAAAATAACCCCTGCGTTTCAAGTAGCCACGGCCATAACATTACCCAAAGCTGCCAAGCAGCCTGCCTGAAAACCATCTCTGAACGCAGTCCAAACCCATAGCCATTTTCTCATTTATATCTCAGTTTAAAAAGAAAAATTAAGTCACGTTCATATTTGCTTGGAGACCACAAAAATAGTCCATGCTATAGCCGAAGAATGTGACTTCTTCTCCGCGGGTCCTGCAAATGATTAAATTTTCATCTTCTTAAGCAAAGAATACTGAGCACAAGTGCTGTAGAAAATCGGTGTCGTTTCAAGAGAGCATAATCCTAATTTTAGCTTGTTACACGGCTGGAGAGATCTGTGTTTCAAGGAAAATATCCTTAGGCGCCCCGTGAAATATCGTATCATATTCCAGGTCACGGGGCAGCTTAGGATCCCGTCGACTCCTTTTATATTTTTGTAACGTTACATCTCGCGCTTAAATCTGGATCTCTGAAATGGAAAGCCGCTGGCGACTAACAGAGGCTTCTGGCCCTCGCGGGCTTCGTTGTGACTCACGGCCTTCCCTGTGACCCGGCAGGTATTGACAGCGAGTGGAGGAAGACTCAGTGCCTGCCGCGTGAGGTGTGTATAGATGTGGGGAAGGAGTTCGGAGCGGCAACAAACACCTTCTTTAAACCCCCGTGTGTGTCCGCCTACAGATGTGGAGGCTGCTGCAACAGTGAGGGCCAGCAGTGCATGAACACCAGCACCAGCTACCTCAGCAAGACGGTAGGTGGGTGGGTGCCGGGGCTCTGCCCTCCAGAGCCGCCGACGTTCTCGCTGGGAATGAAGTTCATTTCTCAGGGCCCTGCGGTTTGGATGGTACAATCTCACAGAGAAAGTAACTGATGCTTGAGGAACCCTGTTCGTGGTAGCGGTATCCGAGAATAAACGCACGTACGAGTGCGTGTCTGAGAGAGAGAGACCCAGCTACTTTCCTTTGGCAATAAAACGACTGTCAGGTGCTTAAGTCTTCCGATGATAGAGACACAGCACGAATTACACGTTCAAAATACATGCTGAAATGCGGGTGGGTGTTCTGTGCAACGGCCTAATACTGAGATGAGCCAGCACCCTGAGCTGAATTGTGTTCGTCTAGGAAGCAAAGGAAATGGTCTGCCACTCAGTCTCGTGGATTCTGAGTTACCTGTGAGGTCCCATCACACGAGACGGGAGGCTTCGAACAAATAGCCCAGAAACGTATCTTAAGGTTGGGTGCTGGGATCTTGGGAGCGGATGCGCTCACCTGCACCGCGGGTCGGCCGTGGAGGAGGCGGCTGGCCGTCAGAGGGCACGTCTGGGCGCTGGTGGTGGCCACGGGGTGTTGTTTGAAGGGGTGTGAGCCACTGGCCTCTGCACAGAGATGTCTGGAGAAGCCCGGGGCCTGGGCCGGGCTGAGGCAGACACCCCGAACGACAAAACCGTGTTTGCCTAAAAGACTTTTCTGATCCATTTTGGGAGGTGGAATAACAGAGGCAGCCTGGCTACATCCAGAACTGTACTTTGACTTGTTTTTTTCAGTTTGATTTATTTATTTTTGAGAGGGAGACAGAGAGAGTGAGTGGGGGAGGGGCAGAGAGAGAGGGGGAGAGAGAGAATCCCCGGCAGGCTCTGCTCTGTCGAGCGCGGAGCCCGACGCGGGGCTCGAACTCACACACCGTGAGATCATGACCTGCGCCGAAACTAAGAGTCGGGCTCTTAACCAGCTGAGCCACCCAGGCACCCCAAGAACTGTACTCTGACTTTTAAAGTGAAAAATAACTTCAAAAACGGGATGCTTGGTGTGATTTGTACAGTGTGGAATGATAACAGGGTCATGCTTTTACTCAGATAATGTCTCTACTTGGAACCCGTGTAAGAGAGGCTTCTTCTCGTATAGACCTTGCTGCTCAGAAGTCTGTATTGCACTAATAAAATCTACTCTTATTTTGATAGAACTAAGTGGAAATGAAAGTTAAATTGCCGTTCTGGAAAAAAAAAAAAAA